GAGATTGTGGAGAAATCGTTCTTGCCAAAAACAATGTGAGGGGAGGTTATATTTGACTAGAACTAGCAATTATCCATAGATATAGTAATTTACTATAACTTCAAAATTGTTAAGGTATCATTCTCTCTCCACTTTGGTTCTTTATGATCTGGTAACTTAATAATCCAAGTAACACTGCCTGTCTCCATGATATTCCTGTTCGGAAGGTGAAGCTCGCACCTGCCTCTTTGACTGAAGATTTAGAAAAATAGAAGTGCATCAACATTGAAAATTCCTCGCCTTTCCATAAATATCAGCAGTAATGAAGATCGTGTTCAGCCACTCTCTGAATGTTATCCATACTACATACAAAACGCCTGTATAGCTCCCGCTTGTTGTGCTATATCAATGCTTATGTGCCATAAAATGAAGGTAGGTCAAGGAAGTTGAAGTCAACGAACCCCCATCGACACGAATGAATATTGGCTGACGCTTTCCGTGCCTTTTTGGACATCAAGACAAGCCCTTTGAAACCATAACCTACAAATGGAAGATTTGCCTGCTATACATGCCCTGCAAGGCCGAATTTTCGGCTTTACCGCAGGTGCTCTTACACTTCAATCGAAACATTGCACATAGTCGTCCAAGACCTTCGACACATACGAAGAGCTTTAGAGGCTCGCATATTGGACCCAAGACACGAGAAGAACGAATTCTATTGTACAAAGTTTGGTCCTTATTTAGGAGATCCTCGCTCGCGGCGCACAGAGTATGATATCACCTACAATGACTCGCTGCACAACACCAGAGTCAGTTCATCGAAGACGTTTTTACAGACTCACGAGTTTGTGACCTCCTCTTGTCGAAACCATCTGTTCGTGCTTTGTACGGCATAGTGGGAATCTACAGCGCAGACGAATCCTATTCGCCTTCAACATCTAATTTACTATGGCTCTTACGCTAGCTCCCTTGGCATACTTAAGTTACGGGTCCAAGAAGCTCCCCTCTATGCACGAAATGGTTCTGTAGGAGAGATATTGTGCTAATATATATATAGAAAGGAAACACCTATGTTGTCATTGTAGACGAGAATACCCAGACCTCTACGCCTACCTGCGGTTCCAAACTTGCCTGCCATCTAAATCATTAACGAACCCGAAAAAAAGATGTCTTCGTTTTTCGAACGAGTCGGATATGACAGGCGAGTCATTTTAGCCACGATATATACAATTATTCCACCGGGAACTTAAGGTTCACCAAAAAGGAAGAGCGCAAATGTTCCGGCCCAGAGATCTTCGTCAGCGGCTACCAACTAGCACATACATTTCGCAGCTTGACCTCTTCTGGCAGACACGGCATAGGAGATTGAGATGCTAGACAGGTGAAGAGAACGTTGGTACAACAGGTAGTGGAAGGCCTCGTGTATATTTGCATGTATTTTCACATAGGTAGGTGTATTATATTTCAGAAAACCCTGTCTACATGGGCACTGAGAAACTACTGAATCCTAACACTACTCCGTTCTTCCATTCTCCCCGCTTTTTCAAAAGAGAACCCGTTCATTCTAGCTGGGAGGAGAGCAAATGAGGTTGAATATACTGCCTTTCGCTTGAGCGATTGATGTCCAGAGAACGTGTAGCATATTTTAGAGTTATTCTTTATGAACCAGCTACAATGAAAGTGTATGTATGCAGCAGGATTAAGATAGAGGGAAGCAATAATAGATTAGATTAGCAAAGCGGCAGCTTCACAATCACATCATGATATCAAACCCATTACTACATAGTAGAGTCGAGTACCCATAGATAGTTCTCTATTTCAATAAATATGCCCAATTCACTTGTTCCTTTGACAGCTACACAATTTTTTCTCCCAAAGAAAGCTGGTAGGTATCCATATCCATAAAAATCTCAAACAAATTTTAGATCCTGAGAGTGAATTTGGATTCGGATTGTAACAGTGAATACTTGAGGCTGAGAAGTTGATTTTCTTTCCCTATTTTTCCTTGTTTTTCATTCTGCACTTTCACAAACCTTTTCTCTGTGCTTCATCAATCCATCATAGCAGAAATTTTTTTTAAAATCTCCAAGACATAAAACATCAAGATGACAACCACTGGTAAGCAAACCATATATACTCCTTGTGTAGTATCAATACCTTGTCTCTCCGAAGGAATATTGGGATTTCTCTGCACCTCAATTTATGAGGGGGTATATGCATATTGATCGCAAATTTATATCGATCTTCGTCGCTAACGTCAAGATAGGTTCAACCATCATGAATTTCGCTGACACCATTCCAATTCCCGGACGCAACAGCCTCCTTTGGCCAAGAGCATCTGCCTTGAGCTTGCTGGGACAGTACGAGATGACTAGATATGACCATAAAAAAAGCCGTAAGCCATGTTATTCTCACACATGATACTTACATTCAGACAGGACAAGACATGACACGATGTGCCATCCTTCCTTGCTTATGTTGTATGGAGGACTGCTAGACTAACTAAAATCCTTAACAGTATTTGAACACATTCAACGCTACCGCGGATCGCAGGAATGGAACCAGGTCGATGCATCTGGGTACATCCCCCTTCTAAATACTCACAGATACACGACTCGTAGGAGCCTTCAAGGTGCTGCGCAAGGTTGCCGAATGGCAATGGTTGAGTTGATCTGCATTCATAATGCGCGTGCTGTGGCGCAGAACAGAGCTGTTCAAGCCCAACAACAGATTGAGGTGTGTACACTCGCTTCATAAATTGAGGTTTATGATTGAAGAGAAATATAGCAACTTTGCTAATGATTTTACTAGAAAGAGGAAGAAGAAGAATGGGCCAGAATCATTGTCGCTGTCAAGGCGAAGCAGGAAAGAGATGTTGTAAGTTCAGAGAATCATGCATACACTATACCATCTATAACTAACATTCTCTAGGATGAGTATTTTCAATCGACAGCAGCAAATAGAATGAGGTTGTGGGAGAGAAGATAAACCGCATTGCGGTGCGTTGTCCAGGTCATCCATCCACATGGGGGAATCGACCAAGGAAACAACGAAATGGGGAATACTTAGATATGGAAGGAGAAACGTCGTTACAAGCGAAGAGAACACTTCTTCTTTGTACGTCAGCAATAATATGAACTCTCCTTCAATAATCGTTCAATTTCTTCGTTCCTCGGCGATGAGGTGAGCCAGTACCTACATGTACCTAGTACTGTTAGGCAAGCACTTGGTAGAACTATTCATATCCCTACTCCATAGGTACCAGTATCTACTGTACCCTCCCCGAAATATCAACACATGATGACACTTCGGTGAGTTTTACAACCTTCCTAGTGCTATTTCCACAGTACGGAGGAACTCTTTACGTTTCTGATTCAGAAAACACTGCAGATGCTGTCAGTTCAGCATCCCAATCGCAGCATACTATTTTCCAAAACCACATATCACTTGATATCTTGCCATCGTTAGAGCTCGCGAGCGTCGTCTGCTCTCAACAAAACTTAAGTCCATGCCAGTAATGACAGGTTCTGAAATCAGTGGCGGCGCCGCTGGATCCTGAGCGTAGTAGTATCTCTCGCTATGGATTCTCGATGTGCTTCTACCAAAACCCAAAATCTCCATGGTTGACATCATATCAGGTGGGGAGAGGGGGGGGGGGGGTCCCGTCGAACTTAAGCATATCGATAACTGGAAACGGCATCAGTGTGCTGATGCCAAAGCCAGTCAGTCCATGTAAGTGCGTCATCCTCCATAGTACCTGCTCGCGACAGAAGAAGCCTGGTATTTGCTCTCCTCTTCATAAGAAGATTATATGTGAAGTTTGCGACTTCGTGAGTATGACATAATCTCCATATCCACAATTCCTTCGAATCCTCTTCTTGTATATTCGAATAGCGAGGTATATACCAATCCGAGAATCTTCGAATGGGGAATTTCGTATCGCGCCGTGTCATTGAGAGAGACTGAAAACTTTGGTGAGTCAAAACCAGACCACTGCAATGCAAAATGTCTCGTTATTCTGATCGATTTTGCGCCCATGAAAAAGCTTGAAGCTCTAAATACTAGGTAAGCTATCAATCATACCTACTTGCAAAATATAAGTGGCAAGTAGGAATACATGCAACAAACACAGCAAATAATGCCACAAACACTTATCCATTTGATTTCGATTTCTTTCTTTACAGAAAAGGTCTTTCAGTCAAATCAATAGTTGTTGTATCAATCCTGGAACTCTACAAATCAAGGTGGGAAACAAAATCCAACTTTCAGGTTTCGGCCCGAAGTTGTTCCGATGGCTTGGTCAAAGTTGATTGATGGGGTGAATTCGACTTCAATTGTTTATATATTGAATGAGAGATGATGATTCTTGTATATTTATATCCCTCTTCATTTTTGAAATCAGACATCTTTCTTTAAGAGCGTGTTTATAAATCTCTGACTTGATATTTCTTTCACTTTTTTGTCTTTCAATTTCCATAATACTGCTATACTTGGATTAATACTTAATTATAGGAGATCCTGTAGACTTGGCTAGTATAATATATGATATATACACCTGTCAAACATTCCTTAAAATCCAGATACAATTCTGACCTGAGTTGCACGCATCGTCTTAAAGTTGATTTCACCAGATTTCTTCTGCATCTCAGATTTCTCCCTAATCATCGCCTATCAAGAAATAAGTATCTATTTACTTCCCCTGTTTGCCTTTTCATACAAAGGAACTCGTTACTCATACCTATGCTTTGATATTTCTTCTCCTCGAGTAGCCTATTCTATTGTGGGGAACGGCGGGGGTTTGCAATTTTTTCATAATCAAGATCTTATGAGTGGTAAATTCAACTTGTGATTATACAGCTATTTCTATCTAGCATGATGGAGTGTATATCTAGTCTACGTTATCTATGATATATTAACCCGCCAAGAAACGAAAAGGACTTTTCATCTATAATACACGACTAACTGATTGTACGGTGATGTTACACCCGCTCTTACTCCCGCGCCGCAGCACATACATAAATCTATCCATCAAACACACCATGTTGCAATTCCACTCCGAACTGATCTTTGGCCAAAAACCTCATCTGCTTCTCAATATCATCCTCCATACCTCCGCCCCATCCAAGAAATTGTCTAATCTTACTTCCCCAAAAAGCCATATCGGTGCTCAACAATACAAATCTGAACAAGAGATGTTTCCACCCATTAACCCATCTCTCTCTCCAGCTCAAATCCTTGCTATCGACCAGACTGCGCGATGCCCATGAACCGGTCATTTTGATGCGGTTAACAGGGGAGCCGAGAAATTGGTTGTTTCCTTGCACAATGCGCATATTGCGACCGATGAAGAGGAGTTCACGGGGGAAATTTTCTTCTTCAGAAAGAACATCTCGGATGCCTTGACGGAGTCTCTCTTGGACTTCGTAGTGACGCTCAGCGGCTGTTTTGCCTTTCAGATCCTTGGTGATGCGATCTTTGGTGCTGTTGTCGCCACCGTCATATGGACGCATAAGAGTTGCCGATGCGAAAAGATCGGGGGCCTTGACACCCCATGCAGAAGTGATTTCGTTAAGCGAGGCATTGTCGAAGGTCATGATAGCTTTCCAGAACTGACAGTATTGATGTCGGAAAGTTGGAGTCATGGAAACGTATAGACCGTGGTCTATTAGGACAAGTTCTGGTTGACCGTTGGGCTGTCTTCGGATAAAAATATTCCCTGGATGAGGATCGCAATGTACAACTCCCCAGAGGAACATTTGTGCGGAAAAGAGATCAACCATGGTGGTCATGACTTGTTTCAAACTGAGGCCAAGACCACCTTTGCCATTACGACCTCTCCATTCCGCGCTACGGTCGGGTTTGGGATTGTTACTTGAGAGGATGTTTGGCGAGGGATTTGACAGTGGGGCTCCTTTTGCTCCAGGAGAACCTTTGCCATATCCACCCAGCCAAGGAGCTGTCAAAGCTTCTTTATCCCAAAGACGTACACCCTCGATCCATTCTGTCGTCATGACTCGTTTTGAGGAAAGTTCACGATATACCTTGGGAATATAAACACGACCGTTCAATCGTGGTTCACCTGCTACTAGTCCGGCCATCTGTTCTGAGTTATTCGCTTCATTTACAAAGTCCGTTTCTAGCATCAAGCGCTCAGTAATATAGGGCACTAGACTGTACAAGGGAAGGTCGAACCAGTATGTGTATACTTTCATCACTACCCTGAACATATTGTTAGCAAGGTCCAAGGTTTTGAATGCTTTTCGAATAGAGGAAACTCACTTGAAAGCCCACAGATCCCAACCCACTTGGCTAGCAATCTCTCGTTTCTGAACCTTGATTGCCACTTCTCTCCCATCAGCCAGCCTCGCCCAATGAACTTGCGCAACAGATGCTGAAGCTCTAGCTTTTGTTTCGATTATTCCACTCCCAGGCTTATTTGTATAACTAACACCAAACACTTCCTCTGGACTTTTACCTCCAAAGTCTTCCCTGATAACCCTCTCTACATCATGCCACTCATTCTGCGGAGCATCATCGAACATTCTCGCAAACATTTTCTGGAACTCAGGAGGCAAGACTGCACTTTGCATAGCAATTGCTTGTCCAATTTTCAAGTATAATCCGCCATTTTGGTGTAAAAGATTGAACATCCTCTCAGCGTTTCTCCTATGCAAGTCCGTAATGTCACCCCCCAGAATCGGATTTGGCCTAAAATTAAGCTTATAATCGATTGCCACCAATATACCCAGGCCGAATGTTCGCAATGATCTGGTAATAGAGGATGCGTACAATTGGGTGTCTATGAGATAGGCTATGCCTGTCGCCGCCGAGACATATAGTAATCTTCGTCCCCATTTTATGGATCGAGGATATAGCTTTGGAGGGGCGGCTGTCCCCAAAGATGCTGGCGAAGGGGGGACAAAAGGTTGATATCTTTGCGCATGGGCTAGACGTTGGGGCACCTTTGTATATACATGATTTCCAATCGTCTCCTTCTTTGGCCGAATTAAAAATTGACTTGATTGTTTTCGTGCCTGATGGGATATTTGGTGTGTGGAAGAGAATGTATTGAATAATAAGTTGTTACATGGTGGTACAATGAACCCCAACCTCCTGCCTGCATTTCGCAGGTACATGGCTACGTAAAAATGCCGACGTGAATGGAATGCATAGAGGAAGTAAAAAGTTCAATATTCGATGACGATAATATAAGGAAAACTATCAGCTAGTTCCCACCGTTATCGTTGATAAGAAATCAGTTTGTGTTAACCCCGCCCCGTCCCGTTTGCCTGCTTTATTACTAAGCGGCTCGGTCGAGTTGACATATCCGACCAATAAATCCAAGTATGGAAGTTCCACGGATTCTCCTTGGATATACTAATAAGCATTATTGGCACCGAAGATGAAGATGGAGATGTTTCCAATAATAGGCAGTTGAAGAATGGGGAGTGGTCATTTGTTTCCTTTTGAGAAGCTGTTATAAAATACGGAGGACAAAGGATGGAAGGATGGAAGGTTAATACTAAATCACGTTCTACCAAATCCTTCTCATATCATCATCTCGTATCATATGCGTACGTACAACATCAAACAAACCATCAGAGCCAGGAAAAGTCCACCGGCAATGGAGCACATCCATATTGTACTCTGTATGATCGTCCCGGTATTTTATGCAGAAGGGGGGATTTTACAAGGACCAAGTTTGAAGTGGCCAAGCACTTTTCACCTATTGATTGTGATTATTGGCATTCATTTATCAGCATTAGCTGTTCCCTCATCATACTTGAGCACTATCAGAGCAAATGCATGCCTCCACCGAATTGGATGCCGTCACACATTAGGTTCAAAGATGCATTAATTCGAGATTATGCGTTATTAGATACTTACTTAGTAGGCATTCTAGGTGGATGTTTATTATTCCTCTTTTCGATTGACTTGTAAAGTAGTATCTCTCGGACAACTTTGCTCATACCTACTTAGTATACATAGAATACTCGATAGATATCGACAAGTACTTCCATACACACTCATTCACCAAGATTATGATAGACTTTAGGAAGTAGATAGGTGGTTAGCACTCTCGATATGTGATTGATAGACTTCAAGTACCATAAAAAGAAAAGAAAAGAAAACATAGCCAGGCGTAGTAAGGCAGAACTAAATATAAACTTGTATGATTTGCATATCCATAGTAAGGAAGCAATAGCTCCATCTTATGATCTATAACTTTAGATGTCGCATGAAGGGTTTGAAGATCCTCATGTCGTTGGAAACAAATGTCCACTGTGATTAGTTTGTTACAGGTGATGGCAGTAAAAAATGAACAGCGCGTCCGAAACCGTGTACCAGAAAGCGTAACCCAGGGACGTCAAGTTCAAATGTTCAAGGGAGTATTGAATTCTCGTTCTCTTTCTGATGCTCCCGACTCCAGACTCACCAAGTGTAGAGGATTATGGTCATGCGAGTTCATAAGTTTATCATACCGGCTGATAAGTACTAGGTAGGTAGTTAATACTCGAGTGAATGAATTAGGTAGGTAGGCATGCTTTGAATGTCACAAATTCCTAATATTAATGTCCTCTTCTCTTCTCTTCTTCCCTCCCCCTCTCCCCCTCCCTCTAGTATCATATTCTCCATATTATCTATCTATCATACCTCCAGAGTCCATACCCACGTATTCATCCCGTCCCGTCTCCATTTTATCGCCATCGCCTCATTATTGACTGCATAATCGACCTCAATGATACTGCTTGGGTAAATTTCCGAGAAGCAGAAAATGTCGTGTCGTGTTCAGGTTCTCCTTCTTCTTTAGAATAAAGTCCCATCCCATCCATCCATACATACCGGGCACATAATCAAGATCAACTTTAATCAGCGGGGCTGAGCAATTCACAATTTATCACGAGAAGACCTACCCAGTACCGCGCGAAGCATCATCCATCGCTCATAAGTCATTACCTCTACGGAGTACAGAATCCTGTGCAGACTGTACAGTAGCGCAGTAGTTTAAGACGAGACACTCATTGAACGACGCAAACCCTTCCCCCCTCAAGCCTCAAAACCTCCAAGGACGGACAATAATAATCTGAAACGCCCATAAGATTGAGACAGAAAATTACCACCATATTGAAAGACTGACATGACAGATTGAAAGACCACCAGACTATCATCCTTTCGTGTACAAACAAATATTCAAAGGATTTTTTTTTAAACAGACACCAATTCCTACACTCTTGTCTCTACCATACTCCGACTCTTATCCAAGATTACGATTTTTATCTTACACAGCCTTTGAAACCTCGGAAGAATTCAATCTTGGCTGAAGTCGAGACCAATTGAATCCCACTCCACACGATATCCCTTCACGGTTCTACTGCACTTGCCTACGCTCTAACCCTACAACGACATAGTACGAGGAACCGTTCTTGGAAGGCGTGGGCTATCAACGCTTTTAACCTTGCTTTTCCCAAAAGCCAAAGTCAATTCTAATCACAATCTACAAAAACACATGTACTTTGGCTGTTTGGCTACTGTCCATCTCTTGCCCTGGTCCCCGCCTGCTCCTAGTCTCTCAGAAAAGGCCATCGTCAGGAGAAAAGTACAACAGCAACAACAGAACAACAGCGTCCATTGATCCAGTCTTTATCGTTCAATTTATGACTTAATTCTCTGAAATTATATTCCATTTATCGATGTCTAGTCAGGAGTGGGGAATTCAGGACGACAACAATAATAATCACAATCAACAAATTGAGAACTTGAGACTTGAGGTACATTCCGCGACAACATCACCTGGACACCCTTTGATCGAAAGAACCTCGATATTTGCCGCGTCTTAAAGACGCTGGCATTTCCAATTTTCTACGCATCAGCATAGCACAGGACAACAAAATGTTAAGACCGGCGACTCCGTTATCGCTTTTGCTGCTCGCTGCATTCGCATGCTTGCTCGTGTCAATTCTATCAACTCCTATAATTAAGTCGATACCATTGGCCTCTTTCGATGGAGTTCAGTTTGGGGTCTTTGGGTTTTGTAAAGGAAGCACTTGTAGCAATATTGAAATTGGGTATAGTACTGGTGAGTTCCAATTCTTGAATGCACACTCTTTCAACACATGCTTCCGCGCAATGCGTACTTTAGCATCCCAAGCACAGCACTGATATTGAATAATTATTAGAAAGTCTTTACGATGAAACTCAATCAGCTACATTCGATCTCTCTACAAGTACCAGATCAACATTATCTGCTATTCTCATTATCCACCCGGTAGCTGCGCTATTCACACTTATCATGCTAATCCTAGCCATCGCCGCTCACTTCCATGCACCTTCACATTCCCCTCGATACCTACTGGGAATATTCATACTGAGCATCTTGACTTTGATTCTCACCCTACTCGCATTCCTCATCGATGTTCTACTCTTCGTACCTCACATGGCATGGGGTTCATATGTTGTGCTCGCCGCCACAGTCATTATCGCCGCAAGTGGTGTTGTGTCATGCGCTATGCGCCGAACATTGGTTAGTCGAAAAGCAAGGAAGCGTCGTATTGAGGAGAACGCAGAGATGAACGGGGAGAATTTCTACAACCGTCAAGGAAATGAAACAATCACTCCGGTTGTCACTGACACCAGCAGTTCGAAAAATCCGGACAACGAGAAATTACCAACATTTGCCACATTTGATGCGAATAACAATGAACGAACAAGTGACGAACGGATACCTTTGACTACAAGAACCCCAACCACTGAAAACTCTCCTACTAATGTCCCTGGTGGATCTATTAGGAGTCAGGGAATGGACGGTTACAATGGACCACAATCAGGCACCCCATCTATAGATCAATACGGAAACCCAATTCCGATGATGCCGATGATGCCACAAGTAGGAAATTCATACGGTATGCGAAATCGTGACCAATCTGCTGGGCCACCGGGACAGGCATTGAGCCACCAGTACTCTAACACTTCCATGAATTCGAGAGGGCGAGGTGGAATGCCACCAGGACCACCAGGAAGAGGTGGTTATGGACCACCGAGGGGTGGATACAGAGGAGGTTATGGGGGCCCTCCACCAGGCCCAAACCGTGGAGGTTATGGCTATGGCCAGCCAAGAGGGGGTTATGGTCCGAGAGGTGGGTATGGTCCGAGAGGTGGGTATGGTCCAAGAGGTGGCGGTTACCCAGGCCCGTACAGAGGAGGGTTGAACAACGGAATGATGGCGATGGGTAACGGTGGAAGAGCGCCCCCACCCGGGTATGACAGCCGAGGACCTTCTGATCCTTCGGCGCCTATTGGTGGATTCAGGGATGCTTCTCCGGCGCCTCCCGGTGGATATATTGCATACAGGCCAGACGAAATGAGACCCAGTAGCTTGCCTCGTGCCGAATCACCTCCGCCTTTGGAAGGTTTAGAAAATGTAGGCATGGTTGGACAGGCGATTGAGATGGTTAGTCCGTAAACCACCTTGAAAAATTGATGATACTAATTTGGCATTAGGATGCGACAACAGGCAGTCCATCACATCCACCTCCGGGATTTGTCGGGCAATTCGGCAATCTCAGAGACAGTGATGACGACGTCGCTGGAATGGTGGGCCTACAACAGCAAAAAATACAGCAAAGGCATGAGACGTTGATTAGTGAGACGAGTCAGTATAGCCAAGATGAGTAAGTGATCTTCTATCATTGAATCGCCAAGTTTCTAATGCGGTCAGATATGTACCACCAAGACAAGTATGGGGACAGCAAGCAGGTAGATCATCACCTCTTAACCCTGCCTCGCAACCTGTCGTCGAACTTCCTCCTAGCGAGTCTACTCACAAACGAGATAACTCGAATGGTACTTATTACGAAGACGTTGACCCACGTTTTGCCGATCCAGCTCCAGCTCCAGCGACAAAGTCATCTCTGACAATTCCCGCCGCCCTTAATATTGCTGCACATTCCTCGAATAACAACTATGGTTCTAAGTCTCATCTTCATCCAAATCCGTTGAGCAACTTAGATGGCAACAATTCTTACAATTCTTTAGAGGAGCTTCAGTCGGGGCAACGCTCTCCAGCTGAATCTGAGAGGTCCACTTTTACATCAGTGTCACAACGAGGGATTAATCCCAACTGGAACGGAGATGCTAG